GTAATCTGAAGAAAAAATAAAAGAATATAACTAAGTTTGTTTCCCTACAATATTCAATACACAATAAATTAAATAATTATTTGTTTAGATTTAACAAATAATGTAATCAATAATCAAGTCCATAATTTGTTTTTAAAGGAGAAGAAGAAAAAAAAAAGAGTACACGAAAGCCCTTAATTCAGTTTCTAACTTTTACAAGTTTTTTGATTTTTTCTGATTTTTGCCATTTCAATTCTAATACTGTTAATTTTGAAAGACATTTAATCCCTTAAAAAGAATTTAACCTAAGATTATTATGTACTGAACACATTATCCTTTGAAATTAATAGTTTACCATGTTTCAGAACATAATGCCTATTTGTGTAATATAAAGCAACTGTAAAATAGTCACACATGGTATACAAAAATTATGATAATAAAATAAACTCTTCAACATTACGTGTTATAGCTCTTCATTTTATAAAACAAGTACAAGCAGTAAGACTTATCAAGGTTTGTATAAGTTAAATAAGTAGTTTGTCTATATTACAGTAATGTCTTGCCTACCTTAATGCTAGAAACTTTTAGCAAAATACAGCTACACCATTCAAAGTTTCAATACCTGACTTTTCTCTAATGCCAATTTCCCTGCTTTCACAGTGTTGGAAATTAACATAGCGACTGTCATGGGACCAACACCTCCTGGAACAGGAGTTATGTGTGATGCCACATGTTGAACTTCATTATAGGCAACATCCCCCACTAATTTGGATCCAGACTTCTTTGTTGAATCTGAATAGGTTAACAGTATAACACAAATTCTTAATACATACATAAAAAAATACACATATATATGTATTACTTGCACAGAGGGAGTAGTAGTACATTTTGGGAACAAAGAAAATTAAGGTAAACTTGCCCAGGTCTAGTTTCCTTAGCTGGAGAGGTTAGTGCAAGAGATATGAGAGCCATAATAACAGTAAATGTAATCATATTTGAGCTAGAAACAACTCAACAACGTCAAATACAAAAAAAGAAAAAAAAATGCAAATGAGGAGACTTAATAAATATCTAAAAATATTAAGTTTTGCTTCTTCATATATTTCTTACTACCAAAATATGCAAAATCATATTAAGACTAAACAAGGATGTCACTGGATTTTTTTAAATGAAATAGAGCATTGTATTTAAGGTTTTGGTACAGTATACAAACATCCTAAATTATTTGGTAGAAGTTAAGGGGTGGGGGAATTTCTTAAATGGTCTGGCCCACTTTGCTTTCTCATTGTCACCATGCTTAAAGTTACTGAACTTAACCATCTTTTTCTAAACAAGTGCCATAATAAATATAATGCAATTAAAGACATTCATGGTTAAATAAGAGACTATTTCCATACCCTAGGATAGGTAGAGTAGTCTTTAACGTTTTCATACTAACTCAAAATCTGTAGCCTAGAACTTAATCAACTAATATTGGAAGAAAGTTAAAATTCAGGGAAAAAGTTTTTGTTTGATAGAATAAAATTGCATAATAATTTAAATCACTTGCACATACCATTTAAAGATAACACTTATACTTTATTCATAAGTGTAATATATAAATTAGAGAAATGACTGTTTAAATTTACCTATACTTATTTTTGGTACAAAAAATCTGTACCAAATTTTAACTATTTTTTTGCAATTTAATGGTTATATAAATTGAAACAAAGAAAATTGTTCAAACCAGAGGTTGCATAAAAGTATTATTGCAATCTTGCATACAGTAAATACAATTATTTTGTAGTAATTTTCAGAGTCGAAATTTGAGAAGTACAGGTATATAATGTCTACAAATTTGCAAATGTAAATAAAAAATACAGCCAATTATTCTACTGATGTTTAGTTCATGTAGTAATTTCCTTATGACAGCAATATAAACCAAAGTACTAAATCTTTCAAAGCTTATAAAAACATTTTTTTTAATCATCATTGGTAATAAATTAAAAAATTTAAAACTAAAGGCTTGCTACTAATAAAAAATAAGAAAGTTCAACAGTCTTTACCAATAAAAAATGTAATGACTGTAATAAATTTAATATGGTTGCCTCATTTTCTTTGGTTTACAATTAAGTTTTTAATCTCACTAGTTCTCACTAAGTATGAACTTCAAATTAAAAATGATTCAAGTACTTTTGAATTTCTTAATAGTTTGATTCTAGAGATTGGTGTGAAGAACTAAACAATGTCTTTCAATAGATTATATTAAGCCAGATACAAATATTACCAGGTATTGCATTAATTCCACAGTCAATTACAACAGCTCCTGGTTTCACCCAATCCTTCTTTACCATTTGAGGTTGACCAACACCAGCAACAACAATATCTGCCTCTCTCACCTGAAAATCCAAGAAAATAGTTATGTTAAAGGTTGTACAATAAGAAATTTCTGATGTTCTAAACAAATACATCTAATTATAGTTTATGTAAACAATATCTGTATACTCTTGGGTATGAGGAACCCTATTAAGTTTTAAAATCTTTAGGTGTCAAGTAATGTAAAGTCTATGCAATTCAGTAAATAAAACCAACATCTGACCCAGTATCATTATTATCACTTCAAATTATAATAATACTGCCACTTGTCTTTCTACACGACATAATTTTTTGCTAATTGTTTGTTTGTGATTAAGCACAAAGCTACACAATGGGCTATCTGTGTTCTGCCCACCACAGGTATTGAAACCTGGATTCTAGCATTGTAAGTACACAGACATACTGCTGTGCTACTGGGGGCCACATCTATAGTAACTTGATTTACTGACATTTCAGGCTCAAAAAGGCAGAACACAATGCACAGCATTTTAGATATTTTAATATAAGAAAAGATACTGAAACCAAATCTAATATAGAGAATTAGTTATTTTTTGTTACGAGAAAAAGAGATTTCTCACATAACCATATTTTATAAACTTCCATAAAACAAAAATATCAGCTTATTATTCTATATCAAATTTTAAATACATCTTTTTCCAATCAGACACAGCAAGGTAGTATACACAAAGACTAAATAATAAAAACTTAACAAAAATAAGTATTAATTTCATATTTTGAAAATTTTCACAAGGAGGCTTGTTAGTTGAAGAGCCACTTTTATCATTTTAGGAAAAACAAATGGTAGTGTACTAAATGTTTAGTATTTTAGCATTCTTTAATAACTCACAACTTGTGGCAAATCTTTGGTGCGTGAGTGACAAATTGTCACTGTTGCATGATGCCAGCATAATAACTGGGCCATTGGCATTCCAACTATTTTGCTGCGACCAATCACCACAGCTCTACTACCTTTCAGAGTAATACCTATAAAATTAATAAAAACAGAAATGATAACTTGAAAACCTAGCATACATTTAAATTCATTAAAAAAACAAGAGTGAAAGAAAAATAGAAACATAGTTGCATTTCCCCCCCATACATGAACTTTTTGTTACTTGCAAGTCTATAAACTACACGACAATCTATTTTTGTGAACCAAAATAATATTCCTCTTTGAGGCAAGCAGAGTAAAATATTAAGTAAAATTCTGAACTTGTAGAGAGCATTTCAATTAGTATATAATTGTGATTTGTTGAATATAGTGAATACATAAATGACAGATAAAACTTTACTTCTATGCTCAATATTCCACCTTACAACTTTCAGAAACAAGACCTACACACTTATGGTGGATATGAGGAATCCGATAAAATTTTTAAAACCATTAAGCACTGAGTAATGTAAAGTCTACACAGTTCAGTAGAGATAACTAAAATTTGATTCAGCATCATGATTATCACTTAACATTATAATAATACTGCCGTATCATATTATCCTGAAACATGGATAACAGATGTTGGAAGTATCCCACACTTTACAAAATTTAAAATTCAAAAACAGCTAAAATGGGATAGAAAAAATATATCATTTAAATACAATGTTTTGCCACTGTTAACGTGGCATCATCAGGTATTCAGGACAATTGTACATGACACTTAAGTACACACAATTGGTGATGTCAACCATATAACCTTGACCTAGCATAAGTATAAACCTACTCCTTGTGTTTTATTTATTAAAGGTTTGTATTCCTTTATTAAAATGGTTTCTTTTATTAATATTAGATTCTAGACAAATAATTCTAACAGTTTTATTTTCACTACAAAGTTCTGTATCTTTAACATGTTGGTAGACATGTGATGGAGCATGTCTATGTTCTGCTATTTTAGTAGTTAAATTTCTACCAGTCTCCCCTATATAGGGATTATTACAGTCCGTACATTCTACACTGTAAACTACTTCTTTCTCAATAGTAGTTGGTTTAATCCTATTTTTTAAGATTATATTCATCTTTTTTCCTGGTAAAAATACAAATTTTCCTACAACTATTAGGATGTTTGAAAAATACTTAAATACACTATTAAATATTTAAATATTCTTTAAAATTCAGTTGTTTGTATAATTTCATATTGTTAAAATATTATATAATAGTATAACTACTATGTTTAATGTTACAATTTCATAAAACAGTTAAGTGTTTAATAGAAATAAACATTCATTTATGGTGTAATTGACAAAAGTTTTTATTTTGTACTCTCCATTGATATTTTTGTACTGTTCTTATTAACATTTTTTGAAACAGCATATAATTTAATTTCTTTTTCTCAGTTTATGCTCGTCATTGGTGAACAAGCAGTATATACTGTGATTTTAACAAGTTGTAAAAATATTTCCCTGATGAACACAACTGAAACATTAGTAAATGTGTAGTAAAAATTAATGATGTAACTTTAAATTGTTAAAAATTCAAAAGTTACATTATCTATACAGTAGACTACAACTTGTATCAAAAGAAAATTACCAGTCACTTAAATGTTTTGGACAAACTACTGTGTTTGTTTACATTAGTTCTACTTGTAAAGAATAAACAAATACATTTCTAAAAATACAGTACAATTGTATTATAATAGCATTAAAAGTATGGTAAGAATACAGCAAAAATACCAAAAAAATAAGTACAGATCCTTTAATCCTAGCCTGTTGTAAAGTACATGTATACAGTATCACACATTAATATCCATAATAACATAAAATGAATTGTTCTGACTTTGAGTAAACTAAATAAATAACATGATTGGTCACTAAGTGGATGAAAGGAGCAACAAGTTAACCACTGCATGTAAAAATGTTTTATAAGTTGCAAATTTCTGTCATCTTCTAATTATACAAAAATGTTTTTAAAGCATTATACATGTACACTGCTAAACAGCACATGTTTAATAAACTTTTGCCTCATCGAGGCACCCTATTTCAAGTATATTGATCTGCCATATGATGCATTCTGACTATGATACTAGGAGATTACAATTCTTCTAAAGATGAAAATATGGTTATCTTGCAATTCAAAATCAATGCAATAATTATCTAACAGGAAAATACTTTGTGTGTAACTCAACTAGTGAAGAGTTATTATTTAACTTTCAAATGAAAGAAATAGGTCCTTATGTTGTTGTGTATGTTTATTAAAGTTTCTGACCTTCTATTTGACAACATACCAGCAACGTGACTGCAGATTTTAGACTAAGCTATGTTTCAATATCTTTGATTATAACAGTCACAGATTTTAGGCAAAATCCTGCTTTGTTTGGAAGACACACATAATGTAAAAATAATTATCTCATAACATTAATTTAAACGACATAAAAAGTAAAAAATAAGTAGGTTATTTACTTGCAAGTATTAGGTTACTAAAATACATTTGGGTTCAGTTAGTGCTGTTACAAGTGAAACATTGCTAACATGGCTGTTAAATTTAATAAGTTCCCAAACAGTTCCAAATACTTAAAAATTTAGTTATTGGAAACTACACTTTTTTCCTGTAGCATGTTTAAACCATGATTACTTTTTCAAAATTGCTATTTTGTTTTTAGTTTGTTATTGGAAACCACACTTTTTTCCTGTAGCATGTTTAAACCATGAATACTTTTTCAAAATTGATATTTTGTTTTTAGTTTGTGAAACCTCAGGTCATACTACTATTTTATTTTTAAATAGTGGCTAAAGAAATCTAGATTTAATTGTTCAAATAATAACTAAAATATTGTGCAATAAAATTTAGTCCATTTTTTCTCTTAATTTTTGCTTCTTATTCTATTGTGAACACTAAACACGCTACAATTTCAGGCTATTGGTTAATGTCAGCAAGTGGTAGTCTTTCATTGCAAATACTTTCAACTACAAACACTGTAGAGAAAGAAAATGTAAGTTTTTTCTAACCTGATCGTTTAATCAACTCCATACAACCTGAAGGTGTACAAGGTAAGAAAAATCCCTCAAGCTGTCCATGAGCAAGTCGCCCAGCATTTTCATCATGAATTCTGAAATTATTTTTTCACTTGAGTTTAAACTTTTACCTTTAAAGTACTGCAATTTATGATTTTCTCTATTCTATTTTGTAACTAATAGTTAATAGCTTTCACTTCTGAGTAATAGTGTAGCTTATTATATGACTATTAAAACTGAGAAACGATATATAATTCAAAATGTTTTTAGTTTTTTTAAGGAATATTTTTTATAACTTTACAATGTATAAACAAGATAAAAATATCTACACTAAAAAAGCTAATACACTTTAAGGGGCATTTTGGTGTAAATAAGAATTTTGTATTTATTTTCCATATTTTATGTATTAAGCTAAAATATTTCTGTGACTATTAAATGAATCTATTTGGTGTGCTGAATGAATAAAAACTAGAGCCAATAATAATAAGAAATGTTTAATTAATCCTAATTTTCTTGATATCTAGGAAACACCACAAATGGATTTATATCCAAATTACAAAAACAATTTAATAACTAATGTGATTAAATCAGCTGCTGTTACAGCCTCTCATGCCCCAAGAATAGATATTTACATGATATTTACAGCTTTCTATAGTTGTTCATCATATGCACCTACAGCATACAAAGTAAAGCATTTTACTAGCTTACTAGGGCAACAATTGGGTAAACAATAGAATATGCAAGTTTCCTCTTAAATTCTTAGCTTATTAATATCTATCTATTTATACACACTAAATTATACATGTCATATTAGAGTCCTAACCACCCAAAAGCGAACGGCAACAAATTATCATAAAATGGTATCTAATGAAAATCAATGGTAAATGTTTCTTATGCACTCCAATCTTTTTCTCAGTAATGTTACAACCAGTATTCTAGATGATGCCAGTTTTGTCAGCTTCAATTAGAAACAAATGAGACTGTATACATCATCTTAAAAGTTCTTATTGAAAATTATACATAATTGCCATACCATAGAAGGCAGTTAAATTTTCTATTTTCAATAAAAGATTTTGTGACAAATGAATTGAAATATCTTAAAACTTGATTATGGATGTAGTTTAATATCCATAAGCATTTCTACATACCCATCAACATCTTTATGAGGTGATACTGAATTTGTGATCAGGTTTGAGTCTATGGGCTCCTCACTGTCCAAGGGAAGCTGAAACAACCAAGGACATTTTGATCATCACACAAACAATATTTTATATGATCCATATAAAGTCCACATATACATTTCATATTACAACACATAACCTACTCTCAAGATTTAAAGAGAGAAGATTTTATAATGAATATTTTTTTCAACCAAATGAACAGAGCAAAAAATTAGAGTATGATTTAGAACCATTAATTCACTGAATACAGTTAAACAAATCCATGCTATTGACAATATGTCACTAGGTACAACCTGCTGAGCAGGAAAACCTTTAAATTTAAAGTGGTCAGAGTTAGTCTGACTGAATCACATGTCAAAAGAAAAAAAAAGATACTCAGTAATGTAGAGAAAAAAAGGAGCCCATTTATGGTGTTGCCACTACTGTGGATTTTGTTAAGAGTAAAAACAACTTGCATTTGTTAACTTTGAGGTAGAAGCAGCTCTTCTCAAGTTACTCATCACATTACTGATTAAAACTCCAGCTGCTGTCCTGTAATCCATGGTGATTCCTAATTGGAATGCTATGAAGATAGCAGTTATTACATGGCACAGTTGACCTGTCAGACACCTGCCTGATATCATGTTGGCAACCTTTCCATTATGTAACTGAACAAACAAAATAAACTGGAAAGCCAAATCCAGGAGATAAATTTTACTTCTGATGCTCAGTACTTTTGTTTTTTAGTAATCTGTCTATATTTTTACTTATATTTGTTTCTTATACATTCTTTCTGTCACATTAGGAGTAATTTAACCACCCTCACAGAACTGGATGCAGATAGTGAACAACAGATTAAGATTTGGGCTTTAGCAACCATATATATGTTCCTAGTTTTTAATTTCTAGTATTTTCTCATGAAAAACATGAGAATCAATTATAAACCTAATAGCCAGAGTATTCCCATCATTGTTTGAAACATACATTCACGGATACCTCTAGTTTGTCTGTATATGTGTGATATTAAGATGATTTTTTTTCTAAATAGAAAAAAAAAAAAGTTTACTTGTAAGAGATGAGGATCCCACTGGGTGGCCGAGTTTAATACCATGATCAGATTTGCAGTGGAAATGTTTTTTTTTAACCAATTAAAGTAATCATTGTTAACCCTAGAATGCTAACATGGGGTCACTACGAAACCATACAAGTTACACCTGTATACTAAACTAGCCACACTGGCATTCTAGAGTTAGTCACAAATTACCCGATGATGGTCTGCTCCTACAGGCTGAAATATTGAGGTTTTAATTGCTTAAAAACATTTCCACAGTAAAGCTGATCACAATATCAAAATTACCTTTAGCACAACTTTCTGATTGTTTACTGAATACTTAATTTACCTGATTAGAAGTGTTTCTTTGATTTAAGTTTCATGAAAACAAGCAAAAAACATATTATGTGTGTGTATAAATGTTAACATAAGAAATACACAATGTTCCATTATTTCTTCTTTAATCCAATTCATAAAACTCAGTAACTAGTTAAATTATAACTTGACATCTCATGCAAGTTGTAATTTTGATACTTCATTCCGTTTAGTTCTTCAAAGAATATTTTAAGTAAATTAATTAACTGAAGTTACCATAGCATTTGGTAATAAATATAACTATAATAATATTTTAAATAAATTAATTAACTGAAGTTACCATAGCATTTGGTAATAAATATAACTATAATAATATTGTAAGATTTTACTGAGGCTGGAATAAGTATTCTTAAATGTTTGAAGCTTTTGTAACTAAATATGTTTCGTGTCTTGTCAACTGTCTTCATTTCTTTACAAATTCCTTAAAGTTTCCCCAGGTATAACACGGGTGGCCAATTTATATCACCTGATAACTATAACCTTATCTTACAAAATTTGAAAACCATTAGGGAATGAATAAGAATAAAACTAGAAAGTCTATTCAGATAATATAGTACTACTGTGTTAACAACATTGTTTAAATTCTCAATACTAGCTGTTGAATTGTTTTACTTATATGATGATAGTACAATATGCATCAACTTTTTTAAAAGTTAGCTGTGTAACACTGTAACCAACTTTTCAATATTTTACATACGAAAGAGAGACTTCCACTAATAATATAGTACTTTGGATCAATTAAAGTTGACCGTATAATTCTAAAGTAACCTAAATCATTCAAACAAAGTTAAAATAACTTTTAATATATTTTGTGATATAAATGTTTTAATTATTATAGCTTTACCTTACAAAGTTTAAAACCCAATATGGAATAAATAATAAGAAAACTCAATGTCTAGTCAGATAACATTTGTTTTATTCTGGTGACAACATTATCTAAGTTCTCAATTGAGGGAAGGGGTAGCCCAATGAAAAGCTAATTCACTCATTGTTACTGGACTTCTATCTAGAGTGATCAGATTTCCTAACCAAAAAACAGGACAGCCCAGCCTTTAACTTCAAAATGGTTCTTATGAATTTTCTTGGCAGTGTGATTTATAATGACTGATTTGCCAGTGTGTGCTATCGATAACACAGCTTTGGAAATAGTGTACTCAACTTTATTGTCCAACTCACTTGCCTTTAATAAAAAAGGGAAGTCTGCTTTCAAACTAACATAAAAACAAACTTTCTTTTCAGCATGTTGACACTATAATATGTTTAGTATCAAAAATGATTAACCTATCTTAGAGAACAGTCCCTGACATTTAACTGTCTACCACACATTCACTGAATGCTATAGGTCTACTACAGTACTACTAGCTAAAAAATATGCACAGACCTTGGTTTCTCACCACACACATACAGACCTTTCAAGAGAGTTTGGCAGCAGGAGAGTAAATGTTACAACAATGTAAGCCTGTTATGTTCATGATTCAATTTGACTGACAGTTTGATGTCTTTATCATTAGACTGGGACATTTTATGTCCTGAGAACTTTTCTTGGGACACTGGTACAAACTTCCACAAAATGGGATGTCTCAGAACCCTACTTCTATTGCTTTTGGATATATGCCTCCAGGTCTTTTTTTCTTTTAAAAGGGTGCTTGGTACAGTTGAATATTTTCCATGATGCACCTGTAGATCTTGTTATAATTGTGTTTTAGAAACACAGTGATCTTAATTTGTTTGCATGTTATTAAAGTAGTCTTGCATATATAATGAAGAATTCTGTATTAACATGACCTTTTAATATAGTGTAAATATGAATAATGAAAATACAATCACATCACTTTTTGAAGCAAATCCTCAACCTAAATAGCTTGACAAGAATATATGAATTACATGTATTGTCAATAAAGTAAATATAAACATGTCAGAAAACAGCCAAGTATTATAATGTGGTGTCTAAATATATTCCAGCATGTAAATTCACATAAGCAAAATGGGAACAAGAAAAGAAATAAAAACAAAGACTGATAGAAATCAGGATGAATATACAGCACTCTGCCAAATTCATTTTTAAAGTAAATGATCTAAATAACTAGTCTGACATGTAAGTTATATATATCTACACTAAAGAAACTAACTTGCAGGGTAAACAGATAGTACAATGACATTGTACATAAATGTAATGAAAACGTGAACAAAAGAAAAAAGAAAGAAAAATGATTCTTTTTTGTTTAGCCTTATATCGAGAATGCACCAAAATCAGGTGTGCTCAGTTTTGGCAAGTATGTTTAGACTGAATTAAGTTTTTTGTATTTGCTTTCATGAAGCAAGAATTACTAGTAATTAATAACTGAATTTTGTTTTGTTATTTGATGAAGAGCTTTTGGATGAAATGTTATTAGTGCTCTACAAATAAACGTTTGTCGGGCTTATTTGAGTGTATAGTATTCTTCATTCTTGACAATGTCATTGTTTTTTAGGTTCACATCTTTCTAGTAAAGACTGGATGACCACAGTAATTTCAACTGTTATTCAGTGGTTAGTAAAAGCAAAATCCTAAAAGTTATATTTGGTTTGTGTGGGTATTTTGTAGTATGTTGAGGGGTCAAAGTAGATTTTTTAGAAGGACAAGAAAATTTTTCTAGCATTTTGTCCCGTGGACAAGTTTTGTTTAATTGCCCAGCCCTGTTAAATACATCTAATACTATAATATACTCAAATAAGTAATCTTGTCCATTCATTTAATTATGCAATTGAATATTATCTTAAATAATGACTCAATACTTTCTGTATAAATTCCCATATTCACTACACTCAAAATTTTGGAAACCGTTTTTACTGGAGGCTATTAACTTAATTTAAAAAAATAATAATTTTGTTTTTGAGGAAAATCATTTTCATCAAGAGAAAGGAGCAACAGGCACAAGTAAAGGTCTTACATATGCTGATTTAGTTATGTTTTTCTTTAATAAACATCTGCAATAGAGGGTCATGGAATTTTCTAAATGATTATGAATAAACCCTAAAAAATTGGTGGATATATATACATTTAGACGATTGATTCATTTCATGGAAGAAAAATCTAACTTAAACGATTTTGTGAATATTTTGTATAAATTACATCCAGATATTAAGTTTATAATGGAGAAACAGGACTGATTTATTGGTTTTAGTTGTAAATATTACGCTACATGCAAATAATGAAGTTGCAGCATGAGTATTCTATAAACCAATTAACTCACAATCATATATAAGATTTCCAAAGTAATCATCCAAGGCATATCAAATGAATTATTTCTATTAACCTTGCTAGAAGAATAATTTAATAGTAAGTAAGAAAAAAAACCCAACAGACATGATTAAAATAATTAAAACAAGTTTACTACAGTGGCACTACCTGGAGGGTTTAATAGTAATAATAAAAACTAGTTTCTATGCAAAAGTATTTGGCCCTAATAATTACAGCAACAAGAAAGTACTCCCAATACTGACAATTTTTTACAGTAATTCACATGTTAACATCACAAATACTAGGAAGACAATACCAAATTGTTCTGGAGAACTGAAAGATATTTTTAGGGAGTACCAAATAATAGCAGCTAATTATTAGCCAAAAAATTAAAAAAAGTGTTTAATTTATGTAACAGTATAAAAGGAACCATGATTCAAGGGGTACAAACTTGTAACAATAGTAGATGTCAGTTATGTTGTGGATCAGCTAACTATATATCAAAACTTATGTTTTCAGTCCAAAACTTGTATTTAAATGTAATGATCTAAAATAAGAGATGAGTACAAAAAAATTCAAGTACAAATTAAATAAAGTTTAATATGGTAAATATTTTAAGATATTATGCTTTGTTCATCAGTCGTATGATAGTTTTTAATAATTTCGTAATAACATTTAAAAAAATTTAATTAAATGAATAGATGAGATTATAAACAACTTTGACCAAACATTGTTGGTTTTAACTTGTATTTTATATTTGGGGGTCTTTACACAATTTGTAATGAACTGAAGAGCAGTTGTGAGATTGTGACAGTATATAAAACAATTCAACATCAAATCAGTGCATTGTGAACAAATTATTTTCTAGCAAAAAAATTCATACGCAATCAAAATATAAATACTTTCTATTAAACAAAATATTCTCTGATCATCACACAGATTTAATATTTATCATTATTACCTCAAAGTTATTAAAATGTACCAATTTTACCCACATGTTACTCCATAGGTATGTAAGGTGTACAGTCTTCTAACCACACTTACCTGTACTATAATTCCATGAATGGATGGGTTTCCATTGAGTTTCTGAACTTCTGAAATAAGCTACAAGAAAATGATTTATTAATTTTCATTAGACTATTAAAATTAATAAAACAAACTAAAGTATATACAAGTATAAAAGTTTCATTTATGCACTACTATGTTAAAAACTAGTAGATTAATTGTCATACAAAAATAATTTTTTCTGAAGATGGCACTGAAAGGTCTTTCTTATTTTTTCTAGATTCAATGTTGTTGGATTAATAGTGACATACATTTATAAAAAAAATAAAAATACAGATAAGAAAAATAGACTGGCTATATTTGAGTTTAATTTATTTACAGAAGACTACTAAATTTTAAGCTAGAAGATTATCAATTCAAAAATATTTCCCAGTGTCAGATATAAAAGACTGTTTAGTGTAAATAATATTAATTAATTAATTAATTTTGTGTTTGTAATTCACTGATGTCGAGGCTATCGAATATTGTGTGCAATCCATTGACATCGAGGGTACTGGTGAGGAGGTGATGCATGATGATTTGCATGAGAGACATGTTGAAATCTTGTAATTCCAAAAGGGAGGAGTGGAAGGATTATGGCATGTGTAAAGAAATATTTTGCATATAGAGGGCAGCACTGAACAAAAATAGCTAATCTTGTGAGGAAGGTATCCGAGTTTAATAACCTAGTATTTTTTTCTCAATATCATTCTATTGTCCTTTATTCTTTCATAACTTCTATAAGTGTAATATTTCTAAATTTGCTTATGATACAAAGTTATGAAAAGCTGATCGCACTTAACGTATTTTTTTTTACTCAAATGAATCTTGGTCTTAGTGACAATGCTGAAATATGAAAAAATGAGTTGAAATATTGATAAAAGTGAAAGGGGGTTGAACCAACCTTTTCAAAACTATGCATGACAAAAGCATTGGCTATAATTATTTAAGCATGAGAATATTTAACAAAAATTTGTATTAGCTAATTTGTATTGTTACAATTTTGCACATGCAATCATGAGTGGCAATGTTTTTATTGTTATTGTCATAGTGTAATGTGATTTGAAATTGAAATCTCTCTTGCAGGCCACACTGCTTACACAGTGGACAATATTAGCCAAAGTAGCAAACTCAAAATAATTCTTTGAATAACTCAAGAGCTGGATCACCAAATTTAGCAATTTCAACATCAGAAGAAGACACTACAAACTCACTTGTAGATGTATTTATTGGAGGGCAGTTTCAAACACTGAATATTTCCATATCTGTTACAAGGTTCATGTCAATGCATGGAAAACTTTAATTCATATTGTCTAGGAGCTGTTGAATGGAAGCCCTTCTAACATATGGGGTTTAGATCTACCTACAGCCACCATGTCAAAGGTGATTCTTCTTAAAGATCACCTCCCCCTGCCAGTAGATCTGTCAAACTCTGTCTTGCCCCATGCATGTATTGTTTCATTGTTGAGAGCATAATATTTGTTTCTTAAAATGCTTTATTTAACAGGCAATAATTAGCAATATGTCAAGAAAGCATATGCATAATTCCATTGAAATATCTCACATAAAAGAACATCTGCTGTTGAACTGTTCTTAAGTTCTTCCTTGAACTTTGTAACAAGAGAATGCTAGTCAGTATCCACATTTTTTATGGCTTTGATAAGATTGAGATACCCAACAGAGCATAGCTCTGTCAAGCTGAGAAGATGTGTATCATCAAAAGCCTTACACAAACCTTTAATCTTTCATACCTAGCAGATGAATTCTAAAAAACTGATGAAATGAACTCAATGTTCTTTGAAACTGAGGAACTCATCCAAACCTTTAGTCATGTTTAATGTAACAAGAGCTACACTAAAGAATAAGCCGCAGCAGCAACATAATCTAGTGTGGTACCACCCAACTTAACCCCTCAATCCTGAATAGAAGCTACCAGCATCCAGCCGAAAATCCCAAATTACCCATTGGACAGTGGCACCAAATGTCCAACAGGGAGAGTTTTGAGGCTATTACTCAAAAACTGATGCTGAAAAGAGAAAGACAAAATTAAGAAAATTGAAATTCTAAGGTATGGTGATAATTATTATGAAATCATGAAACTAATTCCAGCAGAATGTGCAAAAAAATTATGGGTTTAAAGAGTTAAGATTCTCAACATGTGATGTCTGATGAGGTTTGACGTATAACAGTTTAAGCTGAATGACAAACCTAAAATTGAGTGTTAAGCTACGATGAAATGAGCAAACAGAATGTTTTGGTTCTATTTCTAAAAAAATTTTAATTTAAGAGCAAGTAAGTTATTGTATCCTTGTAAAAGATACTGGTGAGGCCTCATTTGGACAATTATTTGAAAATTTAGTCCTCTTGTTACAAGGGGAAAAAAAAGTATATGGCTTGAAAAACTGGAGCTCGGAACAGCGATCCAAAGATCTGACCCATCACATTTTCTATGGATCATGCAAGAGCTAGAAATTCCTTGATTCTAAGTTATAAGGGCTTAGATAATTTGCATATGAAACTTCTGTTTTAATAGCAAAAAGATACACTAAAGTTGGAAATGATAACTTGAATAATAGAGGTACGTGTAATAATTTTAATGTTGGAAGTTTACATAATGGCTTGTTCTTTAGCAAAATTATTTTTTGTTAAAACAATAAGCTTGTGAAATGATCTACCTGATGATATGTTGAAATTCTATTGAACTTCTGTTGGATAGATAAATGGATAAGGCTAAAAATAGAATTTTGAAGTTTTACATGGTTGGTTTTGTATGGGGTGTGGCAGATAGTATCTTGATGGGTTTCATGGTTTTTCCACTTTGACTTACCTTAAAGTTCTAATAAACATTTCTGTAAAAACTCATTCAATAATTTATTTGAAATATGCTTCCATTTCTCTATGCTCACAATGTTATTAATTTCTGATGTTTTCAATTCCTTTATAATGAAATGTGATTTTCAACAAAAAATAAAAAGTAGTGCTGATTACACAATTAATTTGAAACCTGCTGGTGCTACGAACAAGTATGAGCTGATATTGCATATACGGTGTGAACAAATGTGCTTACAAAGAAAAAGACACATACACTAATGTAAATCAAGCATGGCATTAACAATATCTGTAGACAAAACTTGAGTGTACCTCTTTACAGAACTTAAATGAAAAGTGTTCATAGCATTATGTGACTTACAGCTTTATCACTTCTCACTTAGAAGCTAGGGAAAGTTGCAAGGTGTTAAAAGTCAAGAGGTAATAATATCAATGTATGTCTGCATAAAATGGAACAGTTGAAAATATAAACATAATAATAAACAGAGAAGTCAACCCCACTGCTACAATTATCTATTGTGTCTTAAGATTTGTTTATGTTATACATCAGGTGAAGATGAAATTAAATATTTGAATATTAAAAAGAGTTACAAGTACTACAGTCTTCATGAATTGATTCTGTGTAAGTTGTTAAAGAAGTACCCAATGACCTTTTATACAAGTAGAAGAGTAGAGAAGTACATCAGAATTTTTACGCTTTGTGTACAAATTGTCTAATACAAAAGCTGTAAAAACTTAATGATTTATATGATACAAAATATCCATTAAAATTGAAAATTCAAAAGTAAAAAAAAAGCTGGCATTATTCTGTTCAATAAACTTTGTCAAGTATTCAATATTTCTAACCTCTCCTTGGCTGATTGAACGAGGAAAATTTATGTGAGTTGCTTCAACACCAACTTCGGCAGCTGCCTGTATTTTCATTCGAATGTAAACATTTGAGTCTTCTCGGCCTCCTACCTACGAGGAGAAAATTCAAAGAATATTTAATTTAACATGAATTGCTAGTTTTTACAAAAAATCAATGCACCAGATAATACATGGCTATATGTCATATATGACTGTTAACTATATTGGTTTATTTCTCTAGACAATAAATTGCCAGAAAGAAAAAACTTTAAACTTTAAACTCCAAATACAGAATACTCAATTCAATTTATCAGTCGGAACTTCCAATAGGGAAAACACATGATCAGGGAATATTTTTTAATATCCTGATATGTTTACCAAAATTTAGAAAAGTTTAGTTTGGTGTGTACTGTATTGAAATTTAGATATACAAACACAATAACCATGCCATTATCCCACAAAATGAAACAAAGAAAGATAAAAAACAATAAATTAATAAGTCAAACATAAAAGAACAAGATATTGGCCCTTCAAAATGAAAACTGATGAGAATTTTCTTTTTAACATTATATTAATTTTTTAAGTTTCTGCATCTTATATTTTGCTTTAGCAAACTCAGAAGGGAAGGAGAATTTTTCTGTTTTTTTTTCTTATTCAGTATTTTCATATATGAAGAACTTTTCAATATATTTTTTAATAATAATACACTAAATGTTTTCAAGGAGGGATATATTTCACAAATGGCCCCAAGAGAAACTTCATGAAAAAAAAATGGTTTAGTTGTTACAACACACATTTTAGAAATTTTAATAACAAAGCCCTTAAGCCTAAAAAAAGTATTAACCTCACAAATTAGCATTCAGTTTTATGAAACTGTTGACTTTTCAATTGAACAAAAAAATATCTATTTATCTACCTAAATACAGCATTTAATTCTTCTTTAGTGTTTATTAGTAACTACAAAAATAAAGTATTCCACCATGGAACTTGACACCTGTCAGCAAACAATATAGTAAGTGTTTCACTTAATGATGAAACTACTGTGTTATAATTTATTACTAATAATGTGCAAATATCTAAGATGATCTCATCATTCAAATAAATAAATATATCATACAGAGAATAACCACATAGTGTATATTCTGGAGGATGGGGGGGGTGAATGTATGAAACCTGATGTCCTGGTGTTATATGCCCAAATTATAGGCTGATTTAGCGAAAACGATGAACACCTGGTTATGATTACAGGGAATGAAACTCTTTTTGGGAATGAAATTCACCCTATGACTCCCATAATATCATACAATGGAAATAGATTAAATATAGAATTGTTACTATAACATGTACCAATTACATTTGAGAAACTTTATGTATAACATCTTTACATAACACAGAACTAGACAATATTACTTTACCTGTACAATAACAAGCTTTGGCTTGAAATCTGGAAATTTTTGTTTAATTTCCTTCACTTCATTTGCTAGATGGTTTCGAATCTCTCTGTAATAAAAAAACAATCAGTCAATTTCTTGTACTTCTCAATAATAATAAAAGCTTTACAAATATTAATCCTTTCTTACACATAACACAAGTGTGTGTGTGTATATATATATATATATATATATATATCAGCTAAATCTTCCACAGTAACAATTACAGGAATATTTTCAGCACAGTAACACAGCTGTAACCAAGTTTCCTAAAGTTTCTAAATGACTGGCTACCATATTCAAGTCTTGTACTATTTATATACCTCAGTCTTCAAGTACATAACCTAATAATTGATGGAACATTGTTTAAATCACTACAGGCTACAACCCATTTGAGTTATTGCTTTAATGAAACAGAGAAGTTCAAAGTAAGGGAAGATTGGAACCAAGGGGACTTATCAGTACCATAAATGTCTTTGAATGAGTTCTTAAAAATCAAGTACCTAAATCACAAAGTTACGAAAAAATTTTGCCAATAATAGATAAAAGAATTACAAAGGAAATGAAAAATCTTTTCAATATGGCAGTATCCTAGCTAACTTGCATAGAGAAGATTCAAAATTTATTATATTTCACATAATTTTCAATTATGTTTTATGTAAGCATTTGACAATAAAATTTTAGGAGAAAAATTATAATTCTATTAATGAAACTAATTACCTTTTTAACAGATTAAACATTTCTTGCTATCTCACACAGAAATGTCGCTAACATTATTATTATTAAAATTTAAATATATTAGTTTGAGCCAACCAGACCATGTACAGTATTCTATGTCTGGTAGGCACACAAATGTTATTTACTTAACAGTAACTCTCTTGCAAAGTTTATGGAATATGCAATGTTGTTTGAGAAACACAATGGTGTTCATAAACTCAAAAACTGAAAAGAACTGAAGGAGATGCAATGATTTCCTTTTTGGGGGTGGGGTGGAGAAATTTTGTTATTAAACTTTGCTTAAAATCACAGTGTTATTGTAATACAATCACTATAGAGATTCTCACAAAGCCAGTAATAGTTGGGAAATGTAAGGACAACTGCCAGCTTTTCTGTCAAGATTGCATGTATCTCGAAAGACAGATGTCAGAATCTCACACATCAAATATATTAAGTGAAAAATATAATAACAGTAGGTAACTCTAAATTCTAATTACTTGTGTTTCACTAAAAGTGAAACTTAAACTTTACAGAATTTATAAACTGTAAGCACTACATCGGTAATAATGTAAAGTATAAGTAATACTAATAGTATTACTTGTACTAATAATAATATATAGTAATAATATTAATAAAAATAACATCCACTGTAGTACTACTACTTGAACTAGACTAGTACTGGTAGTAATAGTACTACTCCCGAAGTGTTTAAATCTTCAGATGATATATACTTACCGAGCTACTTCTGTTCCGGATAAAATTTTCGCTAGGCCTTCTCCAGACATTCTCAACTAGTTTTAAAATTTATCTTAATACTGTTAACTGAAATTCACGTTTTACCGTACTTATTTACGCACAACAAACACCGGTCAAAGTCTTACTTATTAAACCTTGTAAATATTATCGCCACGCTTCACGTGATGTCGCATGAGGTCCTGTTATGTTCTACGTAAGACAGCGCTAAACAGAATAAATTGATATAAATAAAAGCATATATATATATATATATATTATAAAAATTTAGAAATTCTGGAGTAGAAAACCTGTGAAAATGTTAATGTCAGTGGTGGTAATAGTTATAAATAATAACAGGCTATAAGCTGACTGACCTTTTAAATATTTGTTTCTCTTCTATTTTTACAAATGAGGATGTTAGCTTTTTTCCGAACCTGTTAACATTCTATATAGTAAATATTAGAAACTGGCCTGATTCTGTACATATTAATTCTTTGAAACTAAATGTTTGTTTGTTTTTAAGAACAAAGCTACACAACGGGCTATTTGTTGATTTCTCAAAACCCGTTCCCTTGGCTGTGGTTTCGCTAGATAGTAGATAGGGACAGTGAGAATCTCGTAATCCTTTCATGCGCGTCACTAATTAGATGACGAGTCGTTTGGCTACCTTAAGAGAGTCATAGTCATATAGATATCGAAATCCGATTTTTAGTGTCAGTCCAGGGACTTACCATTAAGCTACTGGGGTATATGATACAATGAAAAGATTAAGATATTAATAAATAAAACACCTGGACTAGACAATGTTTCCCCAGAGTTTTACAGGACGTTGTAGGATGCATGCATGCTATTATGTTTTCTACCTTCTTACTTTAACATAAGAATTTATTTTAAATTTCACTTAGTCTGTTTGCAGTTTTCGCATAAACACTTGACCGAGAAAACCGTTGAGTTGTTTTCGTTCTAGTCACCTTTGTTCGTTTGTTGTTTTCTAGAAGATAATATCTACTTTACACTCGAAGATATTTCTGCAACTTCGCACATTGTTTGGAACAGGTCAACTACACCATTGTCCTTCGCCATGTGATATTCTCATGCTAAATTAATTTCCCCACGAGTATAGATAGGTCCGTTTTATAACGGTAAATTCGGATAGGATAATTACATAGTAAATCTGAATTCAAGCTAATAAAATAGACAGACTGGAGATTTGATGTTAAATGTAAAACAGTCTTTTTTTTTAATGCAAAGTAAAAACACAGTGTGTGTACTTTTATATTAGATCAGTGAACTAATTAACAGTTGTTGTCTCTTGAGATGATTTTACATTGGTTGACTCACGTCTTGAACCACGTAAAACTCTTTGTAATCCGATCAAAACTGACACTTCGTACGAAACATGAAATCTT